AGTAGTAGTAGTAGTAGTAGTAGTAGTAGTAGTATTAGTAGTAGTAGTATCAGCAGTAGTAATTAGTAGCAGCAGTAGTAATCATCAGCAAAGTCAACGAAGACCAATTTATTTTCATAGAAAATTAATTTTCAAAACTTGTTATCCAACAAAAACAGTTTCATTATTATTATTATTATTATTATCCTTTTTTCAATCACCGTCAGAATAATAATTATCTTGATTACTATTATAACTATTATTTTAATTATACTTATTATTATTAATTACCGCTGTTTCATCATATAATATGTCATCATTAAAAATGTTTCAACCATCACGGTCCCACTATCATCATCATCATCCTCATCATCCTCTCATCGTCATCATCATCATCATCATCATCATCGTCATCGTCATCAACATCGTCATCATCCTCATATCATCGTTAATGTTTGCACAGCGCGCAACGAAAAATTTTTTTTTGAATTTTTTTTTTCTTCCAAGCAATAACATTTTGAAAATCTCCTTAAACATTTTTTCAACTATTGTTGAGAAAAAAGGAGAGAAAGAGAGAGAGAGAGAAAGAGAGAGAGAGAGGGGGAGAGAGAGAGGCAAATTATTATGAAATTATGTTATTATCATTATTATGTTTTATGTTGTTGTTATTGCGTTATTCTTTCATACAACAGGCATACACAGTCAGTCAGACAGACGGACAGTCGGACAGACAGACAGACAGACAGACAGACAGATCTACCACAGACACAGAACATGCAGACACACACAAATACAAACACAGAGACACGCACCCTGATACTGAATGTTCCATTGCTTTTTAATCATAAAAGTAGGTACGCCCACCACACACAGTTGTCTGGAGAAAATAATAATTAACAACAAATTAATTATTCACAACGAGATAAAAGGTAATAATAATAATAATGATACTATATAATAATAATAATAATGCAATAGTATAAATAAACAATAAAAATTTCATAATAATAATCAAAATACTTTCAAACAAAAGGCAATTGGCCATCTTGAAAATCTCAAAATAATATATAACTTTATCGATAATAAAAAAAAATTAAATGTTACGTCATACGGTGACGTCATTCATGGGTTTGCTTCATTTATTAATAAGGGGGTAAACTTTTGACAATCACATGACCTCGTGGGTGACCTCGAGAATTTTTTATTATTATTATTATTGTTGTTGTTGTTGTTTGTTGTTGTTGTTGTAGTTGTTGTCGAAAACAATAAATAAAGTTGATAAACGCTATCAAAGAGGCAAAATAAATATTAATATTTATATTTTGTTGTCTTTAATTATTTTTCGGCTGATTAAATACGGCGCTATATTATTTATTTTTGGAATATAGAAGATATTATTATTGCTCGTCCTGACGTCATTCTGACGTAGCTTAAAATATCATATCTTTGCTTTAATTATTGATTGCAATCTTTTTATTGTCGTTTTTATTGCTTATTAATGTCATTATTGTTATTATTTTTAAAGTTATTATTGTTATTATCATGGTTGTTATTATTGTTTTTATCATTATCAACGCGGTTTTAAAATATGCGTATCCATTTGTTATTGCCTAAGTAGGGGGTCAACATTTATACAAGAAGAACAATGGCAGGGAATAACTCAAAAAATAGCAACAACAAACCAACAAAAACAAAATTATGAATATTTATCATTTGTTAAATTATTGTTATAATTATTGTTATAATTATTGTTATTATTATTGTTATAATTATTGTTCTTATTGTTGCAATTTTTCAATGTTTCTTTCATGTCGTTTCGTTGTCGGTCGTCTCTTTCATTAAATGAGCGAACGTAGGTTGGTAGGCTGACAGGACAGGAAGGCAAATGAAATTATGCTAATTAATAAACACAAGAGGAACAAACTGTATGTAGACACAGACAGAGACAAACACAGACACAACAAACCGGCACACACAGTATAAACACACATAAACAGACACACACATACTAAAGCTTTTTTTCAACAAAAAATTCTCTAAAAACTATACAACAGACTCAAATCCACACACACACACACACACACACACACACACACACACACACACACACACACACACACACACACACACACACACACTCTAACACACATAAATCTACATTTGTTGTAGATGTTATAAATAAAAACAGAAATTATGGTCGAATGAAAAATGGATAAATCAGAAATGTCGAAACAATTGAGACGCAAGGAAATGAAAACCAAGAGAAAAAATTTTACGAATGAATGAGAAAAGATTTTATGCGTTGTTTGTTGCTGTTTTGTATCAATCAATTTATACAATCATTGTATGTTAGAGTGTGTGTTTGTGGGTGTGTGTATCTGTGTAGTATGTGTATCGTGTGTCTGTGAGTATCCTGACTGAATGTTTATTAAAAAATGAAAAAGCAACAAAACTTTAAAAAAAATTATATAATAAGTTTCTCCAAAATTGATTAAATTTAAAATTAATCATGTTTTCATTATCAGCTAACTCTTGCAAACAAAGTTTCCCGCCAATCGTGCGCCGAGATTTTTTCGCGAGTAATAAAATTTGTGGTCTTTGTTTTTCTTTTTAACGATCACGTGACGTAAACTTTTTTCTTTCATGAAAAAGTCCTCGAATGGAAGAGATAAACAAAAAGGGTGAAGTTTTTTTTTCGAAGTTTTCAAATTTTTGTGAAAATGTTTCTTTTCCCCGCCAAAACAACATTCTTTTTTAAATTTTTTATTTGTCTTTGGTTTCCTAATTACAATTTATTAGAGACAAATTTGTAAATATGTTCAATATTTTAAAACTATTTGAAAACTTTTATAGCGCTTCATTTTTCATACAATGTAGACAAATGCAGTTAAAAACTTTAAAAATTCATAAAAATATAGACAGCCGAACGGGCAAACCCAAAATAAAAAAAACGAATAAATAATTCATTTGGTATTTCGCGGCTGTTCTAATAACGGCAGAATGAAAATTTTGCATTCAAAAGACACCTCAACTTCAAATGAAATATTAAAATTACCTTGTGTACATACGGGTATATATCTGTGTGTATGAGTATATATATAAATATATATATCATATATAAGTGTGTATATATGTGTGGGTATGTGTGGGTGTACGCACATACATTGTAACATTGTATAATTATGTTGTAAGGAAAATATTTATGGATGCTATTTGATGCAATAACTTTTGATCAGTTGTTGTTGTTGTTGTAGTTGTTATTGTTGGTGGCATTATAACATCAAGAGAACATATACAAAATTTTTTATCTAAAACAGAAAAATAATTGTATTATCTTCTCAAGTTTATTTGTTGGTAAGTTTTTTAGCGCATATTTTTTAGCCGGCACATTTCATCATTCATTCGCAAGGAAACATTATCGGCCTAATTAAGCCGTACTCTGTGACGTCAACTAAATTAGGGTTCTTAATGGAACCAAATTCCTTCGCGTTGTTTTGTTGTTGCTGTTTGTCCTGTTGTTATGGTTTTTGCTACTATTGTTGATTATGTTGTTGCTATTGTTATTGTTAATAGTAGTAGTAGTAGAAAGTAGTAGTAGTAGAAAGTAGTAGCAGTAGCAGCAGCAGCAGTTGTAGTAGTAATGGTAGTACATAGTATAGTTGTTTTTTGCAGCCAATTGTTAGTAGGGCGACGTTAAAAGCACAAAACAGCAATTAAGAAAATTATGAAAAATTATTTCACTTTTATGTGCATGTCAAATTAACACCCACACCCACGCACACACACGCGCTCGCACACACACGAATACACACACGCACGCTCACACACGAACACACACACGCACGCTCACACACGCACACGCAAACACTCACACATACATACAGACAAATATATACAGACTCATAGCGTTGGATAACATTACATATGGATGACTAAGGCAATTAGCTAGTGACGTGCCATTCAATATGCTTCTACGTTTCTGTCTTCGGTCCTTTTGTTTTGCAGTTTTGGACTTTGTTGTTGTTTTGTTGTTGATGTCGTTGCCGTAATGTTGTCGATGTTGTTGATGTTGCAACTGAACGGGTGAGCATAGAACAAACAAACAAACAAACCAACGAACAAACAAACAATCAAACAAACAAATAAACAAACAAACAAACATGCAATCAAGTAAACAAACATACATACAAACAAGAAAGTAAACAAGCAAACAAACAAGCCCCGATATTTTCAACAATAATGAGTAGAGTAAAAAAGACATAGTAAGAGATAAGGGAAAATGGAACAAATTGGATGAAAGAAATAAGGAAAGAGAGAAAAAAAAGAAAGAGAGAAAGAGAGAGAGAAAGAGAGAGAGAAAGAGAGAGAGAAAGAGAGAAGGATAAATTGGAAAGAACCGTCAAACAGACAATGACCTAAATATTCGACTGTGAGGATTTCAAGGATTATTCTAAAGAAATAAATCGCTAAGTAAATAAATGATGAGACGCGAAGTTTTTAAAAATTTTTATCAAACCCACTACTGGTGTAAATGTTGTTTGTGTGATGTTGTTTTTATTTTTTGTTTGTTGTATGTGCTTTTCATTGTGTACACACAAATACCTATACTACTAGCGTTTGTATAAAGTTATGTACACATGTGGTTTTTCTCTATTTACATTACCACATGTTGATTCAATACAATGAAAATCGAGACCAGACCGTGTTTTACACCGTCTACCGTATGGGTACGTATAGAATTTATAATTATAAACGTGTTTTAGACTTTTTCACTCCTCAACATCTCTGATCATTACTTATCAGACAAAAGACGTTGAAAAATGTATGGGTGTTTGCATGTATGTATGTATGTATGTATGTATGTATGTATGTATGTATGTATGTATGTATGTATGTATGTATGTATGTATGTATGTATGTATGTTTGTATGTATGTATGTATGTATGTATGTATGTATGTATGTATGTATGTATGTATGTATGTATGTATGTATGTATGTATGTATGTATTTCCGGAAAAAATGGCTGCCAGAAAGGTCGTTGTTAGCGAAATTTTGTATTTTTTAACTAATAATATTAATTTGCTCGAAAATGAAGTGTTTATTTGTAATACTGCTGATTTCTATACCAATGACGATATTGTAGCTGCTTCGAAAATTTTGAAAAGTGAGTTCGTTAACCTGAAATGTGAAAAAATTGAAAAATTGTTAACAAATGGCACTCAAAAAAAGGACAAATTGGTGGATTGCATTGAGCTATTGAAAAATATGGTAGCAGCTAACATGTTGGACAAGCTCCCTTTATTTGTCAGCTCAAATATGTCCAAGATACCTAATTTCGAAAAATGTTTTCAAATAAATTTTGAAATATTGAAAAACGAAGTTAGAGACATGTTGAACAAACAACATGTTAATATCTCAGCTTTCATTGAAAAGTGCAGCGAAGAATTTGCCGCGCTGAAAGGGAAAACAAACTATGTAGAGTGCAATTTAAAAAGTATAAAAAATCGTAACGACTGTAATAATGAAATTTGGAAATTGAATACAGCTGCAAATAATGATTTGATGCAAAAACCAATTTTATGGTCTGATGCAATTAAAATACCAGCTGAGGTGAATGTGCTGCCACTTACAGATAAAATACCAGTTGAGGTAGATGCATCACCATTCACTGTTGTAAACAGACCGAGGAAAAACCAAAACAAAAATATTCTTGAAATGAAGAGTGATGAAAATATCGTTAACACCGAAACTGGAAAGAAGAAAAAAAGGTGTCAAAAAGATAATTGGAAACAAAGATAGTGAAGATTGTAAACTGAAGGCGAATAAGATTTTGATTAAAAAATCTTTCTTTTCAGTAAGTAACGTGATGAAGTGTCACAGAGATGATGTAGTTGAATATCTAAAGTCAAATGATATTAATGTGTTATCGTGTTACCCAGTGCTGAAGCGTTCAGAAATGGCAAACGATAGCACACCTGATATTGAAAATGAGCATTCAACAATGTTTCGAGTTTGTGTAGAAAGTTGTGACAGCAATAAAATGAAAAATCCTGATATCATTCTGAAACATATTATTGTAAGAGACTGGCACTTTAAAGAAAAAAAACCCGCAAATAATTTCGACAACAACCATGGATAGTAATTTTTCGGATTGTTTTTTTACTATTGACAAAAATGAAGTATGTGAAAATGTTGAAAACTCTCAGCAAAATATTGCCAGCATATGTAAGATTTATGATGTAAATGATTTTAACTCTGAAATGAAAATAATTCAAAATCAATTTAATCAAAATTTATTCAATATTCTACATATAAACGTAAGAAATTTGTTGAATAAATCTGATGACATTTATGATTTCTTGCGAGAATTGAATTTTGAGATTGATGTTCTCGCAATTTCTGAAAGTTGGCTCAATGACAGCAACGAAAATTTGATTGACATTAACGGATATGTCTTTAAAGGTAAGCACCGAAGAATAAAACACGGTGGAGGAGTCGGCTTTCACATAAAAAACAATTTAGATTACAAAATCCGAGACGACATAACAAGTAAAATAAATGAATTCGAATTTTTCGTTCTAGAAATAATAAACAGACCTATCACAAAAAATGTTTTAATCATTGTGACATACCGACCACCAACTTATGATGTCAATTCGTTCATCGAATGTTTAGATGATATTTTGCTGGTTGCAAATCATGAAAACAAATTAATAATAGTTGCAGGTGATTTCAACATTGACCTGTCAGAAAGTAACAACAACAACAATAAGTTCAATTTTTTGCAACTTATGAACAGTTACAGTTTACAACAAACAATAACACTTCCGACAAGAGTAGAATGTAATCGACAATCTATTATTGACAACATCTTCACAAACATTCCTGAGAACATCTTGGTTTCCGGCGTTATTTCTCACTGTCTTTCCGACCACCAGCCAGTTTTTTCATCAATCAATCTTTCAAAAAAATGTTTAT